TTTTTACTTTTATTTTTGCTTTTTGACTCATTTTCTCTCTGTTTTTGGCATTTTGAACTAAGCCAAGTTTCTCTCTGTAATTCTAAATTTAAACTTAGTTAAAAATTATTCACAGTACTTTCTAGTATCACACAATGTGTTCTTTTTTTAAAATTCTTATTTACTCTGTGAATCAACGAGAGACAACGCTAAACAGAGAAGCTTTTCGCATTCTTCACAGCTCCACTTATTTATTAGTCAGGGGCGTTAAAAAAGTAAACCCAACAAATAAATCGGCCACATAACACCACATATGTACCAAATTTGTGGTTGCTTCTGAATTATTTGACCTTGAAAAATACACCATCGTCAATACTTATGATTTTTCATTTTCTATTTCTTCAACTCTCAGACGGAGATGGAAATGAAAAAAAAAAACAGAAATATCATGTTTTAAAATTCGACAAACAAAGAAAAAAAACAGAGAGGAATGAAGAGGATTTATAACTTCACTTTCACTTGTCTATCTTGCGTAATCAATCGTAGCGGAGAAGTTTCATATTGAACAGTAGTTGCATGCAGTAACAATTAGCGTTTTATGTAGCCAATATTTTGACCGGTAATGGTCACTGTAATATCGGCGTAAATAGTTATATATATATCTGTATTAAGGGAAAGCTAGAGCATTACCGGCAGCAGCAGCAGCAACAATAGTAGTAGCAAATTTTTTGGACGCAACAAGCACATATAACTGATTGAACGATCCATTATTATTACGGTCCTTTTGTGTGCATTTCTTCTGGCGTTTTGAACTTCTGTGGATGTCGATGTTTCGGCAGCAGTTTGTTGTTTGCCGACATTGACGTTGTATTTGAACAGCTCATTCGTTCTTGGTGCAAATGAAACTTGATTTTATGCTTGTGCAGTAGCGGTACTGGTTACAGCAGTATGTCAACAGGATCGAAGAAATTCAAAAGACAGGTAGGCAATAATCGTTCAACACTTTTTAATTGTCCATTCTCTGTGCCTCTTGCCGCCGCGAGCACTTGCAAAAAAACTTCAGAAACACTTTCGGCTCTGTTTTTCCAAAATGGTACTTCGTTTCCTTTTTATTTTTATATTATTCAGCATTCATTTATGCTTATTTGACAGAATTTAATTTAAATTTAGCACATTTAAGTGATACCTCAGTGAACAACAATGTTCTACAGCACAAAAAAATTTTTTTGGAAAAGTGAATTTTGTAAAATTGATTTTTGCTATTAAAAAAAATAACTAGTTCTTTTAATTTTTTATCATGCCTTTTCAATTTTTCGATTTATTTGATTCATTTATTTCTTTAAAAACCTATTTTTAAGTAACAAAAATCATCAGGTCGCCCAAGAGCAGATGGTAAATTCCTATATACTTTAACAAATTTACTTTTGAAGCGAACGTTTAATTAAAATGTGCTGCAGCTTTTTCAATTACAAATTTCTTGCATCTAAACCATGGCTTAGCTATCTGTATCAGTACATATATATGCCTTATTACTGCGTTAACAATACATTGTCAGCTCTTTTGAGGATTGAAAATTGGTCTTTTTTTTTCATTTTATTTCCTAATGCAGTTTATCAGTCTTTGAGAATGATCAGATTACTTACTTACTTACCTGCCAACTTGAATGTCAGATTCTTAGCTAATGGGACTTAGTGAAATAAATGAATATTATTACAACTTAAAATTGATTTTTCTCAAAAGCCTAATCTAGAATTGTAAATCTTTCTTTTTTAACACACTATTTTCTTTAAAATTTGATTCAGAAATGTTTCATATTTTAGTTGTTTACATTAATTGTTACTTTTTACAGATGTCAAATGTGGTTGACAAGCTGCGGCGTGGTGTAGCTAAAACCATTCAAGCTGCATCTGAAAATGAAGTTTACGACAGTCTACCGGATTGTGATGATCTTTTACTGGCCAATAAATTTACCATCAAGATTTACGAACTTCCCAGCGAGTACTGTTCTTTTTCTTCCTCATATTTTTTTCTCCTCTTGATTCATCACTTTTCCGTTACTTTTTTCTTCGATGAACAGTTTAGTGGGCAAAATATGATATTTTTAAACAGAATGAAAGAAAGTAAAAAGTTATAAATCAACAAATAGGTTTCACTGATTTATTTTTATGGTTAAAAACAAGTTGCTGCTATTAAAGTGTCACAGAAGAGTTTTGATGAAAGTTTTGGAGACAGAAAATTTGACTATGTTATGTCAACATTTGTTGAAATGGTACTTGATTACAAACTATATCCACTGTCCACAGTGAAAAACGACTAACTGCGGTTCGTTCGATGTACAGCTTTTAGTTAAACGCTAAATTATTCTCTCCTATTTTTTCGATTTGTCTTCTTTTTTTACATTATTATCGTGAAAATAAAAGCAAAAAAAAAAAAGCTTTTTATGTTGTTGATATTTTTTGGTAAATTTCTATCAAAACACTATAAGCAGAATTTTATTTAGTTACCATTTTATTAAACATTTCTGTTTTCCTCAATGCACGGTTAATACGCAAAAAAACTACTTTTATTTAATCACAACTTTTTTTGCGCTTATTTTTAATGCAATTGAAACTTCATTAACAACTCTTCTTTTGAAGAGACTCTTTTAGTGCCGGCTAGATATTTTATGTTTTAGTGGTTCAAAAAGAAAAAAATAATAACTAGAAA